GCCATTAAGTTTTGTGAATATTCCGGCACCAGCAGCTCCTCTACCGGTTTAATTGTTTTTTTTGTGAACGTTTCGTACCTTGTTGCGTATTGATAGATTGCACTCATCGTAAACCAGACCTTGTGGTAACACACCTTGGACATCTGTAAGTCTCATGCTCTTCGTCGTTGTATGTACAATAAAAGGCTTCTATTGCATGCTTGCTCCGCCCTATTCGCTTTGAGGAGGTTCTCCATGCCTCCGTTTAGGCAGCTAGTCGCGTATTCTTTTATTATATGGATTCTATGAGTAAAAAGTGTTGGAACAAGCTTGATATATTATTACCCAGGAAAGCATTTGTCTTTCTCCAATTTCGAGACAATCTTTACCTAACCTAACCTAAAACCCTTTTTTATGCAGAAGCATTGAAAATAGGTTACAGGTCTATGTCGCTCTGCTGAAAGCATAGCTTGGCTTTTTCGTCGCAGTCTTTTTATGTTTTCATGTTAGACACGTTCATTCTCTGCCCATTGTAAGTGGGAAGATGACCGGGTTTTTGTAGACGTCCTTGCATCCCTTACTGTGCATATTTTGCTCGATATGACAAAAGCTTTGCCTTCTAGGCAAGTTGATCTTGCGTACTGTTGATTTTAGTCTTTCCTATCCAAAGGGCGCTTACACAACTTGGCTCCACGACAGTGGTGATTTTGGTTTTCATATTAAGTTAGTTTTTTTTTCGTTGAGGAGCAGCGTTTGCCCTTTATTTGATTGTCATTCGTTGCACTCTAGCTGGTCTTTAAGGCTTCGTCTAGTTAATGTTTCCAAAGTTTTTCGAACGAATCCACTGAGTAGACACGATAATTGTTCTCACACTTGTGATTTGCTTAACTAAATGTGTAGATGAAATGCTAACTTTTAGTCCGCTACATTCGCTACCCCAACATTATCACAGTGTCCTAGTCATCCTCAAATTAGCTGTGAGATGTGTCTGGGAGTAACATTTTTGTAAATGTACGGAAGAGCTGAGACAATTTTACCGTGTGTATTGAGGCTGGCTCAAATGACTTCCTTAGTCAAATGTGCGAAGGCAGTGAATGTCAATCCTCAATATTTCATAAGTCACATGTTCGTGTGTGTACACCTGTATTTGCGTTAAGGGTAACTACCTGCTGCCTTCTGCTTGCTCAGATAACGCAACAGCCACCGCGTGCTTTCACAGCTCTGGTGCAAGAGAGCATGGCTCATGCAGAGCGAATTATAAAATCAGTCATGCTACCCATTGGTTCCCCAGCCGGCGGTGCATCCGCTCCTGCCCCTGCGCCAACAGTCTCCGTCGTTGCTGGAGCCAGCACGAACCCCTTCGATACGCCAGCTACAAACGAAACCCCTCTTCCACCCACATCCACCGGCTTTGTGATGGGTCCAATCACTAGCCAGGCTGCAGACACCTTTGTCAAGAGCTTTCTGCAACTTATTCCCACTGCTGATCGACAGGTTCTTGAGAAAGTCATGGACATGAAGGTTAGTTTCCTGCTCCTTTCCACGACCCATCCTGTCCTGCTATTTGTTTGCTCGTTCTAGGGCATCAAACGAAGCGATCAGTACATCATCATTGACGAGTTTCAGAAAAATGCCCAAGGGGATCGCCAGCAGCAATCCGTTAACTCGAAGTCTGTGAGCATGCACCATTCCATATCCGCTGGCAACGTTAAAAACATGCGGGGCAAGAAGTGAAAATATCGGAACTCTTCCCTTCTTTTCTGTGATAACATCGCCTCTTTTTTGCCTTTTCTTTACTGCGTTTGATGTGTATTTGTGACTGTCTACTTTCGGTATCCTGTTTTTATATTAGCCCAGTTGTGCTCTTTAGTTGCAATTGGAGGTCTGCTTTTAAGCAATTTTACGGCCGCACTAGTTATTTTATCTGATGCTACCATAACTACCATGTTTGCAAGCCACTTTAGATAGTTAATCTCAATTAATCATGAATACAAAGCTATCGATGCGAACAGTTTTTGTTGACTTTAAGTGGATCTTTCCTCTGGCATAAAGACTTAAAGACCGGAAATTATTTTTAAAATTATGCGGGATTTCTTAAAGGAGCATTGTAAACCATCCGTTTTCTCGAGGTTCAAGGTAAATTGGCTTGTATAACCCCGAATTTGGATTGAATTAAATTGATCTACCGCCACCTAGTAATCAAGGATTGACGTGGCTTCCGGTTCAGCTAGTTGCACTGATTCGTATTTGCAGAAACTTGTACGGTGTAATCTTTTATCTGTGGCTCTCACCTGTGTTTGCCTGACGGAGACCTTCATTTATGTTCCACTCCACTTTCCTGACGCACGATCTTAGGGGTGTTTTTTGAGGTTACCTTTTTTTGGGCCTGGGTTGTCTCATTTCAAAAGCTTTGTGCATACATTGTTTCTGTTTGAAGGAGTGTGATGGAGGGGCATCGCCAGAAATGACTTGCAAAACTGTGGCTATGACGGTGCTGCGTTACACCCATAAGGCATCCATCCATACGCAACAGAACCACGTCAAAGCAGCTTGGGGTTTTACTCTATGCTTGGTGGATCTGGGAGAGGGATTGGCTGATGTTTTTGATAGTCGCCAAGCACACAGACATTGCCTAGCTGTCCATCAAACTGGTCATTTCCTTATTCCCAAGAGCTTGCGCCTACTCCAGACACAATTGTTGGTTTTTTTTGAAGGTCAGGGTCTGTGTGTTTGAAAAGAAGCAACTAAAATGCGTACAAGATAAGTTTCAGGAACGAGTGATCAGAGGATCGGCGTCAAGAGAGCGATATCATTACAGGATGAAAGACACCCCTAGCTATCCTTATCCTCAATATTCGTAACATAATTATGGAAGAGGTGGCGATCGGCTTTCTATGGGACCTGGCAAAGTAGTGTTCGATTGAAGTAGGTCATGCGTTGTAATAGAGGTTATCCCAACTAATAAGATTCTACAGTTGTCACAAGCAGACTATTCAGAAGAGTGTAGTCCATGCACGTCTGCGACTTCCTTCAGTCCCAACGGATACCAAACTAACAACATGAGAATTCTGTACGTATTATCTTCTAACTCTCCAGCGCAGTTTTGCAATCATTCCGTAAACTATTAAAGAAGGAACAGGAATGTCTTCTTGCACCCGGTATGGCGATCTATTAACGCAAGTATGGGTATGATTGCTAATAAAATAACTGCCAGAAGATTCTGGGCAAATTTTTCAAAGCGCTATGAGAGACATTTGCTTTGGTTGCGTAGTCGACTTGATCATGCACGCACGGCAGCCAGTTTTTGCTAATGACAATGCTTTTGATACTTTGGTATCAGAAGTAGCCTGTCTTAAAGATCGTTTGCAGAGTAACAGCAATACATCGGTATATGAATCGGGATATAGTGTCTGCTATACAATGTATTCCCTTCCAAAGAAAGGGGTCAAGTATCCATTCGCCGCGGCTGACTTGACGAGACCCGTATGTCCTGTCCTCTCATGTTTCGTCTTAATTGGGGATGAAGGGATGGAATTTGCTTTGGATTGTTTAGTTTAGGTGATGACGCATTAAGATATTTAAACCCTGCGATAATCTCGAAGCCTTTTATTGGTTCACTCATCACATTGAGATGAATGGAAGGCAAGTTTGAGTGCTGATTAGTACTAACTTTATGCTCCGGTCAACTTCATGCCAAATTCACCAACAATTAGATGGCGTTGGTCTCCTGAAAGTGATGGTAACTTGCAAAATAGGCATTTTGTTCAGTCATTTGTTGGTACATCGAAGATGACAAATTGATCTCATCGTGCTTTTAATTAGAGGGCTCTGCAAACGGAATTACGTGACCTGTTAGGGAGCAGCATTGTGGGAAGGCAATTTTTTTCGAATCTGGAATGTCAATGTGGACGTAGTGATATGTAGCGAGCTCAGGCTCAACTGTCATTGTTCATTTTACATGATTTTTTACAAATTGAACAACCACTCGTATCTTTCCATGGAATTGGCGATCTTCGTAGATCACTACTTCCGTTTCGTTCAACTGTAATAGCGTGTCAATAAAGGATGGATGCGTCAATAAAATCAACTAATTCTAAAACAGCATCTCCGGGTTTTTATGTTTCATACAGACAATGCTTCC